AAGAGAAGGCTGAGGGGGGACCTGGTGACCGTCTATAAACTCACTAGGGGGGACCAGAAGGGTTTGGGGGAGACGCTGTTTCCCCTAGCGCCCGCTGGCATAACAAGGAGTAATGGGCACAAGTTGATGGAGAGGAGGTATAGATTGGACATCCGCAAAAACTACTTCACAGTTAGGGCGGCTAGGAGCTGGAACCAACTTCCAATGGAAGTGGTGCTGGCCCCTACCCTGGGGGTCTTTAAGAAGAGGCTGGATGCCTACCTGGCTGGACTCATTTGAGTCCTGTTTTTGTTTTGGGGTTTTGTTGTTTTCCTGCCCTGGCGGGGGGTCACGCTAGAAGATCTACTAGGTCCCTTCCGACCCTAAATCTATGAATCTATGAATTCAGAAAACAAATGGTTAAAGTTCAGTTTTGTATATAGCTATTTGCTTCTTCCTTGCTCAGTCTACTGTAAAACTGCCTCTATAGAATAATAGAAAAGTAGATCAAGAAGAGACCTCAGGAGGTCATCGAGACCAGCCCCCTCCTCAAGGCAGCATCATCCCTGTCAAGCACCTGTTTAACCTGCTCTTTAAAACTTTCAACTTCTGTGGGTAGCCTCTTCAAATGACTTAAAAATACTTCTTTACATAGAAACATTAACAGAAATCTCCTATAAGAAGTGAGACTAGTGTTAAAAAGAACTAAAAATAAGGTTACTGGGATTTACAGTTATCCCTCTCAGTAACTTTCGACTCCAATATATTACTTTACAAGTCAAAACTTTTTTTTAATTGATGATCCTGCAAACTCAGGCTAGGGTATGAAAAGGGCCAAGCTGTGTTCTCTCTAATATCACTGTTATCTACTTAAACTCTGCAATAAATGCTTGAGTAAAAGTTTCCATACAAAAAGTAAGTGTCTTGACAGAATCACTGAACCATTGTGATGGACCTGATCTGAATTTTTTCAGTTCACAAAAATTTGTAAATATATCAATAAAACATTGTATTCAACTGATATATTTACAATTTTAAAGCAATTTGGAAGCCTACCAGTGCCTCAATCATTATAATGAAATAAATTCTAAATAACAGTATATTTTGGTATTTGATTTTGGGGTTTTTTATCACAGAAAATCAGAGCTAACCCTGCCCCTTCACTCATCAGTACGTGGATCCAGCTGCAGCTGTCCTCCCACTGCTCTGTGGTGCTGAACAGTCCTGATATGCCAGTGCCCCTGAGTCCCAAGCCCCACCAGCCTTGCTCATGCCCCTGACCTGCAGCCCTCTTGTCCCCGCCAGGGCCCCTCATTCCCATTCCACAGCCTCCTGCCACCCTGCCCATCCCCAGCTGCCAGCGCTATGGGACCTGGTGGCTGCATCCTGCCCACTCCCTGCCCTGCAGGTGCCAGCTGCAGCTGGTCGGCAGCACTGAAGCACCAGCTGCCATGTGCTGGAGGCGGCAGCTGCTGCAGCTGGAGCAGAGGGAGGAGTGTGGAGCCTGGGCCTCTTCCTGCCTGCAGGCAGCATGTCCAGAGTGGAGCCCATTGGGACGTGGGGGGTTGCGGGCTACCTGCTATGGGGCTCCCTGCCTTGCTGCCTTCCCCTGGGGCCCTCCATAGCCCAGCAGGTGGGACTAGGCATGGGAGGGCGGAGCAGCAAGACTTGTTGCTGTGCCACTAGCAACACAAGGGGTAACAGGCTGGGGGCGGGGTGGTAGCTGTGCTGCCCTCACCTCCTCTCACTGTAGCACCACTCCCTGCCCCCATTCCATTACTCCTCATGCGGCTGGTGGCATGACTGGTGCAGGGGTCCTGGAAGTGGCAGCAACAAGTCTCACTGCCTCGCTCTGCACTCCTGCTCTAGGTCTTGCTTGCTGGGCCATGTGCCTGCTGTGGGCTCAGAAATCTAGAGGGGTATGTGCCCCTCCTCATGCCCCCCCTGGATGCATTGTTTATGCTCCACCCCACCGCAGACTTACCTGCAGGGAGTTGCAGGAGCTGCTCTCCATCATGCTGCCTGGCTGCACAGGCACATGTGCATGCACACATGCATGTGGTACCCCTGACCTGTGATCAGCTTCCTCCTGCTCCCCCTAGCCTCAAGCAGCCTTTTGCAGGCTGGAATTCTGCCAGCCTGGAAGGGGAAACCCACAGTTTTCTACCTTTTTCTCCTTTAAAAGAGAGAATCCAGGTTTTTCCACAGCAAATGGAAAACCCAGATCCCTGGTGATCTGGAACAGTTAACATGGATTCGTCCACAGCGGTCATGCTTGACCAATGTGATTGCCTTCTAAGGCAAGGTGATAGGCTTCATGGATGGGGAAGGGTAGTAGATGTAATACACCCTGACTTCAACAAGGCTTTTGACACTGTTGCCCAAGAGGGGTCCAGAGAAGGGTTGTGGGTCAGGAGTGAGAAGGTCCAGAGAAGGGCCACCCGCATGATCAGGGACTAGCACGGCAAGCCATATGAGAGGCCTCTTCAGCCTAAAGAAAAGAAGGCTGAGAGGGGACTTGATTGCGGTTTACCGCCATATCAGAGGTGTACACCAGGGCTCAGTGAACAACAGTTCACCAGGGCGCCCTGGGGGAAAACTAGAAACAACAGCCACAAACTCCTGGAAGATAGTTTCAGGCTGAACATTAGGAAAAACTTCTTTACAACTAGGGTGTCCAGACTATGGAACAAGCTCCCACCAGAGGTGGTGCAATCATCTACCTTAGAGGTCTTCAAGAGAAGACTGGACAATCACCTGGCTGGAGTCATCTGATCCCAGATGTCTTTCCTGCTCATACAGGGGGCTGGACCCGATGATCTTTCAGGGTCCCTTCCAGCCCCTATGATTCTGTGACATTTTTATTAGTTGCCTGAGGAGATACAGTCAAGACTGAAGTGTTGCAAGGCAGATACATAACTGACTGGATACGTTAGGGGCCTCCTGAGGAATGTTCTGCACTGAAAGCAAAATCCTCCTCAATTTTATACCCAGGAAAGTTACTGAATTATTCTGAAGCCACAGATTACAGATACAAGAATGGAAATGTGAACCCACTCTGATATGTAACCTGCAGCATATTTCAGGAGTATTTTTAAATCCCCAGAAGACAAACAATTGCATTCTAGTGAAACAAATTATTTTGAGCTTCATTTCATGCCAAGGGGGCGAGGAAGGGTCCTATTTGTAACTGCCAATGCTCTAAGCTCATACAAGGTTTCATTCCAACTTCCTCAGGTACAATATCATCCTGCCATCTAAGATGATCAAAATTAGTATCATCAGGCTTTTACCTATCACAAAAGCTGACCTTCTTTATAATGAACTAAATTGCCCTTACTCAAATCTACCTGTCTCTGCACTGCTAGTAAGACTTTCCCTCTTTTAAGAAACCGCACTTGTGAAATTAAACTAACTGAGTTATACTGCACTAACCTCTAAAATGGATATGCTGCACTGGCACAGAATGTTTACTTCACACTCATAAGGCCAGAAGCCCTAATAAGACATGGCACCTTGTAATAAGCCTTTTAAATTAAAAAATCCCAAAGGGCCGAATGAGGTGTAAGTGGGGTGAGTGCAGAAATAGCACACAGGCAATTAATTGAGAATCTATGACTGTGTCCAAACCGGTAGTTAGGGTCAACTTTAGAGCCACCTTGAAGCCCAAACCCAACAGTCTATACTGGAAATCCCTATTTAACACTGGATGGTAGTCCAGCTGACACCTAAACCCGTTCTAAACTTCAGAGCTGAAGGAAAACCAGCCTTACTTCTAGCACATCCCACTCTGGAGTGTTTTTGGAACAAGGTACAAGAAGCATGGAAGCCTTAATTGCAGGCTTTGAGGTAAAGCAGAGATGGGATAGGGAAGTTCAAGTACCTAGCGCTAGATGAAGGAAACCCCTTGAACATCAGAGTAGGTGTGCCCTCAGACCTTCATGCATACCATTTCATATGAAGTGGAAGGCAGTGAATTCCACCCCAATCAACATCCCTAGCCTCATCTGAATTCATCCCATGTTATGTTTCCATCCTCATTCTCATGAGATTTTTTCATACTACTGCTTTTCTGCAGAGGGTGGACTTACCTGTAGAGTGCTAGTTAAAAAGTTGTCCTGGGAAACTATGTCCACAAAGAAGTCAGGTGGGATTTCACTAAGCTGGTGGTACAGGACAGAAATGAGGCTGGTGTAGAGAACTTGATACTTCCCTATGGCATCTTCTGACCTGCACAAGAGATTCAGGAGCTTTTTCCAGTGCTCAAATGCATCATACACGTTCCCAATCAGGAAACAGATGAAAGCAAACTGCAATTCACCTGGAAACGCCCCACCGAGAAAAAAAAGAGACAGAAAAGGACTTTAGTCAGTGAATCAACGTGAAAGAGGCACATGCAACCCTTGACAGCTATGCAGATTTGTGCATGCACTAGTAAGGTTGGCCTTTTTCCAGCCCACAAAGAGATTCTTCTGTTCTCAATGGTTGTGCTACAGTAACAATTGTCAGTCCTTCAGACATTGATTGCTTCCCACTCCTTTGTTATGTGACTAGGGAACCAACATATCGCAATCAAAAAAGGACATGTTTAGCACAGTCGTTAATCTTGGAGAGGCACTTTATAATCAAATAGAATCAGAGAGTAACATTGCTGTGAAGTGACTTCCAGACACTTGGATATGGTATTGTCTGTATTGTTATAAAACGCTGTTACCTACAATTATCATGCTACAAAAAATGGAGGCATCACATAGTCCTGTGATCCCTGTTCTCTTCTTGGCTTTCCAAAGCCTGTGCTTCCAAAGGAGGGCAACAGGACAAACGAGGCTGCTACTGTAACTACAATACGGTGCGGGTACCGCCGGATGAACCAGACAATCAAAACAAGAAAACTATAACTAATATGTACAGCATAACTAACATGTGAGCAGTATACTGTGTACTACTCCTGATCAGAATTCAGAATTGCCTGATGTTTAGAGTCATCTTATTTGTGAGAAGTATCAACATCTAACACTTTTCAGTGCTTTAAGAGAAGCAATTAACTTGCAAGTAAACTACTTTTTATTTTAGAATAGGAGTTGCTAACATTTTCTGGCAAAGAGCCAGTGACCCAGTTCAGGACTAAGCTGGGCTGGCACTAGGACCTGGCTGCATCTACCACTTCTCCCTGCCATCCTGCTGTAGCACAGGGAAAGCTCCCCCTCCACCAGAGTCCCCAATGCCCAACTGCAGTGCTGTGTGAGCAGAGCTGTTCCTCCACCACAGCCACAGGCTACAGATTGGCAACCCCTGTCCTAGAACATTCCACAATCTGATTCATAAGCGAAAAAATTAACAGGAAAAAGAAGAAACAAGAAATGTTGATATAAAATATCAACCATCTAGGGAGGTATCCAGGTTGTAGCCATATTGGTCTAGAGGCAAAAGGAATCAAAATTTGTGGCAGAGGTGGTATCTTTTATTAGAACTAGATATTTACAAAAAAAAAAATCTTCATTTGCAAGCTTCTGGGCACAGGCTTCCTTTGCCAGGCATAGGAGATTGCAAAGATAGTAAAAGTTCTCTTAGGTAGAAATGAAAATTCATATTTCATCATCTAGGGATTTATCCTAAGGATAACAATGCTGATCCTGCTTGGTTTCACAGTCCTCATACAATGCCACCAAGGAAAGAATATTCAAACAACGTCTGATACAACAAGGATTTATCATTGTTTCCACTGGAATTAGCAGGTAATTAAAGCACTGCCACTGAGGGATGCCAGCTGGTAATTTCTAATGTGTCGCTAAATAATGTATGTTACATTGTTCTGTACAGTATTTACTCAAAGCTTTCTGCACAACCCCCAAATCCTACCAGAAGAGGTCACCAGCAGTGCACAAGCATCACTTATTCCCAAGTTTTTCAGCCTCTGCTGTTTGAACACAAGAGATGAAAAGCTACCATATTCAAGCTACTATGCAGATGAAAACGGACTGCATTAAAGTGGTGATTTAAAGAGGCCACATAAAGTTGCTTATAACCTCCTGCTCCATGCCCTGACTGCTGAATTTGCAGCTCCTCATCCTAATTCTCAGTTCTAATCCTCAAAGGGAATTTACAAAACACTTCAGATGAGCCTGTGAACTTCACTTCATCAACCTCCTGGGTACAAAAAACACAGACTAAATATAGACATTGGAGTTATGACGCACTATAACTTGCCTGACATCTGACTCCCCGGATACCTCTCCACTATTTACCTGCTACATTCATCCCCCCCCCCCCAAACCCAGCCCTTCTCTCACCCACTGACTCCTCAGTTTGCATCTTTGCTGACCTGCCTGCAGACCAGCCTCTGGCCTCTTTAGTATTCCTTCCATTCAGGAAGAGTGCACACAAACTGCATATGCTTCCTCAGCCTGACAAAGGGTTTTTAAACCCAAAAGCTTGCTAAAAAAATTTTTTCCAACTATTTAAGTTGGTCTAATAAAAGATATCACATTCACCCACAGAACCTTGTCTGCCAGCTCCTCGTTGGCATTTTTCATGGCTTTCAGTGGCACCCAATAAGCGCATGGGGGCACAGAGGAAGGGGGATCGGAGCAGCAGTGACAGGGGACTGACCCAGCCTGCTGCCACCGCTTCGAACAGTGCCAGCCCCTGGGCCCAGCGATTCCCCTACAAAGCCAAAGGCTGAGTTCCTGGCACAACAGGTACGGGCGGACATCCGCCTCGCTGCTTACGCTGGCAAGGAGTTAGTTACGGGAAACTCTCTCTCTCACCCAGCACATCCTCGGGCTTGCTGGAGTATCGCTTGTTTATGACGGTTTCCAGAGCATAGCTGAGATCCATGTTGTGCCTGGTGATTTCTTCAGGAGTTGCGCCGTTGGGGTACATCTGCGTTGGCACCTCCGTGAACCGAATCTCGGTGCCCGCTTTGGGCTTCATCTCTGGCAGCCGGGCCAGGCCCTCGGCGTAGCTCTTGCACTCGGTGTCGTAGGGGGGCCGGTTCTGCTCAGCCCGGTCCTTGGCGTGCGTCCCCGCCAGCACCGGCAGCACCTCGGAGAAGGCGCAGACCTGGCCGCTCTCGGGCTGCAGCGTCTGCATCACCGCCTCGCTGATGCAGCTACTGAGCGACACCCACTTCTTGAGCGTGTCGTAGGGGTACGGGCCCAGGAACGGGTCCATCTCCAGCAGGTTGGCCTGGATCGCCTCGCTCTGCTCCGCGGGCGCCGGGCTCAGGTCGACCTGCTCGGAGGCCGGGTCCCAGCGCAGCACGCGCAGGTCGCGGCGCCGCAGGCTGAGGAAGAAGCCGGTGCGCGGCCCCGAGGCGCCGGCGTCGCGGCGGTCCACGGAGCTGTAGTGGAAAAAGTGGACGCCCGGGGGGATCATCTTGATGCCGCGGAAACGGGGCCCCACGCTCCACGTCTTGTAGTCCACGCCGAGCTGCGTCCCCTCAGGCACCCCCAGCACCACCACTGCCGCGCCCTCCGCGAACAGCCGCCGCGCCTGCTCCGCCTCCATGGCCGACCCCACACGCACGGAAGCGAGCGCCACACGAGCCCGCGGCTTCCGCCGCGGCCGCCCGCCCCGAGCCGGCGACTTCCGGCGGGTCCGTAGCGAAAGCACCGGGCGGCTCCTGTGGCCGCGCGCGAAGGGCCTGGCTTGGCTTGTCCTCCCGGGGTCACGGCGGCGGCCCCAGGCCTCTCGCTGCCGGGGGCGCGTCACAGCCTCTCTCGGGCGCGCCGGCAACGTTGTCCACGACGCCCCGGAGAAATGGGACTGAAAGGGCGAGTCCATGTTATTCTCTCCCCCCGCCCCCCCCCGCTGCGTTAACGAAGCTGTCAGCCCCGGGTGAATTGCAAGGGCTCAGTACACCCGTCCCCGAGGAGCCAGCGTGGGACCCCCCCGCTCGTTTCATGGGGCCACTGAATGCCTATTTGTGGGAATTGCTTTCCCTCAAAAACATGCAACTGTCTCCACAATAATTCTTCAACGTGATTGTGGTTTATAACTGATGCTGTAGCCTTGCCTGGGTTATAAATCCTCTTAGGGTTTCCCACCATGTCTCTGTCCTCTGCCAGGGGAGCATTAGGGACAGCACTTGCCCTTCTCCCACAAATAAACCCTTCTGGGACACCCACGTGGATGGCAGTTCATGGCAGACTCTTCCTCCTCTCCAAGTTCCCCCAGTACTTCCTATCCAAGCTCTGCCTCCCGCCTTGCCTTTATCCCCACGTCATTTCAGTGCCACAAATGACAGACATTTGAAGATTCCCCCAGTCAAAAAGAAACCAAGCCCCCAAATACCTAACAGGACCCACACACGTATTCAAGAGTAGGTCCCAGCAATGCAGTGACACCAGGGCAGCACGTACTTTCATGCTCTGAACATCTGCTGTGAGCAGGGTTCCCTTTCGGTGACTGGCAAGGGTGGAACGTAGTCTATGAATCCATGAAAAGTATTTCATGGGTGAAGTTTGGCAGGACAGCATTACGCCCCATCCTTCCTCTTCTCAACTGGATCTCTGCACTAGATAGACTCCTGGATGATCACCTGGGCAACTCTGCCCAACCCACAATGCATGGTCCTTGCTCAGCATCGTCTTCACAGCCAGCTGTGGGAGACCCAGCTGCCTCCAGGCATACTGTCACCCCGAGGAGTCTCTGCTCCTAAGGCTCCTAACTGCCACTGCTTTGCTCAGAGAAAAGTCAGCTTCAGGTCACAAGCTGGTTCAGCATCAAACACATTTATTTCACTTTTATTGAATACAAGAACAGTGAGCACACACGCATACATCACCAAGCACTGAAAAGGGATATGATTGAAGGGAATGGAGGAGAGAAGAGGAACCAGGGAAGAGGAAAGGGGAATTAGTGAAGGAATGGCAGAGCATTGCAGTTGGTTGGTAAGGTGCTTTTCAAATAAAAATAAATATTATTATTAGTAGTACTCATGCAGTTGCAGGCCAATTCTGGAATGAACTTGTGGGACTAGGTGTGAACAGGCACTAGCGTCTCCCACCTCCTTAGATGGAAAGGCCCCCAAATGAAAGAAAAAGAGTGATCAGCTATCTTAAATATCAGTGACAGTGATGAACAAGGCAGAAGAAAGCCAAAACTTTCAAGGGGCACCTGGCTTCAAATATGATCACAAAGAATAAATATTCTGTATATATAAAATCCATACTTTGCCAGGTGAGCAAAAGACTCCACTTTCCCGCCCCCCACCCTTTTTTCCTTGTCACCCATCAAATATGTTGGGTTGAGGAATCCAGAGAACTGGATCCAGTTTTTTAAATCTGAGCATGTAGGGGGCTGAGTGCAATTCTCCTACTTAGGTTTTACAGCAGTGTAACTCCACTGATGTTCATGAAAAGTTACTCCGAATTTTAAACCTTCATGAAAGAGACCAGAATCAGGCACAAAGAGTTTCAAAGTAGCCTCTTAAATCAATGGTCTCAAGTTTGCACCAGCAGCTCTTTGGTTTGAAATGCAGGATGTACTGAAAAAAACTAGTGCACTGGGACACTTACCCTAGCATGCCAATGGGAGAAACATGCCTAATATTTTGCACAGCTCTAGGAACAGATCTCCTGGAGTTTGGTTTCTCTTCCCAAAAGCACAAGTGCTTTATTTAGCTAGTTCACATGTGGGTTGCTGTGCAAAGGCTCAGTCTCTTTTTGATGTTGGTGGGCACAGACCCTAAAGCAGCATCTGGTGATAAGGTGGAGAATCCTGAGACAAAATACACATTTGGATTCACTGGAAATCTGACACAATCTTTGCTGGCAGAAGCAAAGGAGTCAATTATTTTATCAGGGAGGCTGTGCTCATGCCATTAATGCTTATGGGAGAAACCGATGTGCCAAAAGGAGAACAGACTTTGTGGAGACATAGTGAAGGCAAATGGAAGGACCAAGATCCACCAGAGGCCTGAAGTTCTCTGCTGTGGCAGCAAGTTGATCAGATGGGTACATCCACTTAATCCTAACTATTCTACTGGTCCCTTTTCCAAACAACCCTCTGATCTCATCACAAGAATCACTCAGAAGAGTTTTCTACCTGGTGTAAGGACTCTATATTTGTGGTAGGTGAAAAAAGGCAAAAATGGTGTAATGTTTATGGGCCCTTTTGTAACTTGAGGAGCTTGGGACAATTTCTCTGGAAATCAGTTGATTTTTTTTGTTTTGTTGTTTTTTTTGGTTCTGAGTTTGCCTTAACTGCCTGGTTGACAGTATATGAGGCTTGAGCTGGTGCCCATAATCCCCATTCCAAGTGTACCAGTAATGGAAACCTTCATCTAGGTGCAAAAGTCTGACCGGTAGAGAGGAAAGCAGCCTCACTGGATACTGGTGCATCATCAGCAACTGCCTCAGTGCTGGCTGACTGGACAAGGCTCCTCAGCCTTGCTAATCTAAGCTCTGCACTCACACATCTTTGTATCACACAGTCACCTTCTCAACTGCCAGCAGATAGGAGTATATTCTAGGCAAGGCTGTGGTAGAACAGTACCAAGGAGGTAAAGGATGGAGATTGCTGTGTATCAGCTCCACTCATGAGAGCTGTCATACCGCCTATGGTCACCCTGGCAGAAACCAGGTGTGCAGCCTGCTTCAAAGCCAAGCAGAACAGAAATACCTTCTTGCTTATCTGAAACACACCACTTCAACTTCACGTGAGCTAGATCAAGACCAGGGTTCAGAAATGCAGCTATGCAAGTGTCCTGGTTCGGTAGGTTTGGGGTGTGGGAATGGATCTGTAACTCAGACTTTGGTCCGGGTTTTGAAGACATGGCTAAGGAGTGTGACTGGATCTCTCTACTGCTGTGGGGACTCCAGATCGGCGGGGGGTCAGGACTCCTAAAGGTGGGAAGCATCTTTGTGTTGGGGGGGCTGGTGAGACATTGCTGACAGGTGTATTTTGGTGATGCTAACTGGGCTGTGGTTACAACTGTCCATTCCTTCTTCCCCAGGCCCTCGCCCCTTCACATTACCAAGAACTCCTTTGTCACCAACCAACCAATTACAAACGCATACTGTATCACTACATCAATTCCTCCTGTCACAGAGCTGATCACTCAGTGACAAACGCAACATTCCTCTCCACCCCCCAGCGAGCAGTGGTTAATGAAATGTTCCCCATCCTCTTCCTGCAGGATGTCAGTGTGATCTAAGATTCTTGTAATACATCAACCACAGTCAATCAAATAATTATAACTTAAAAAATGTCATCATCATATTTACCAGCACTGTTTAATTATTTTAATATTGTTTCCCACCCCTCAGTTCCCCACCCCCCTTGTTATATATAATATACATAACTTAAAAGCACATCCATATGAAACCCTTACAGGCTGCATCTTTATAAATGAAAAACCATATACATATATTTGTTTTTGTTTTGTTTCAAATTAGATCCATTCTTAAATACCTTCGGAACAAGAGCTTGGATAAAGGGACAGAGGAAAGGGAAGGGAGGTTGGGGAGGAGCATAACAACTGAAAAATGATGCAATAGAACCAGCATGGAATGGGGAAGAGAAGTGGTTGCCACACATCCCAAATGCAAAAAATAATCATGAAAGAATCAAAACAGTTCAATGGTTCTCTCTCTTCTTTCCTTAGGTGGGGAATAGTTTTGTTTCTGCTTGGTTTCTTTTGTTTGTTTGTTTGTTTCTTGCTTTGTTGCAAAGCATCTTTCCTTTCCATTCAGTGTGCAACAAATGACCCCATGATTTGTGTATCCTTTAAATGGAACATGCAAAATGGCGGTTTGTTGTATTAATAAGATTATTATTATCATGATTTTTCTTATCAGTCCAGTCAAATTCATCACTTTCTCCGCAAAGGCTAAAAGAGGCGGTTGGTTTTGCTGTTATTGATGTTGCTGTTTGGAATTCATCTCCAGCATATAGCAGCAGTGCAAGGATGCGTTTTGTTTCTTGTGTGTGTGTATATATATATTTATATATATATAATATATATTTGCTATTCCTTTTTTTTTAATTTTTGTCTCTCGCCATTAAGGTTGCAGCCAGGATGTCTATGTCTTGTTGACAAATCCAGCATGAAGGCCCCTTCTTCATTGTTCTCCAGCTTTGTTTGAATAGAGATGCCAGTGTCGGTGAACATGGAGGTCAAGATTCCTGTACAAAGCAGATGTAAACAATCATGGAGTATTTCCTTTCTTATTTGGTCAATATAATTTACTGGTCTATTAAAAGGTTCTTGCTTATATTAAAACACTAAACAATGTTGCTCAAAACATACAGGGCCATATTTCATTATCCATTCCACTGGTACCCCACAACTGAATTCAACTGATGTAAAAGCCTGGTTCTGCAAGGTGTCATTGAAATTACTGAGTGACTTTGCCTGTTCTGTGTTATGCAGGAGGCAAGATTAGAACAGAGGCTGGCAACCTATGGCCCACGGGCTGGATTCAGCCAGCCAAGTAACATCATCCAGTCCATGAAGCCTGGATATCAGCAACATTTCTGCAGTAGGTAAATTTGGAGACAGGGCTTCCCCACTGTTGGGGGAATTCTGCCGGACTTGGCAGCAGCCAGGTCAGAAGTGCTGGCCTGTCGTGTGTGTGTGCATGTGTGTGTGTGACCAGGTGATAGGTGCTTTACCTTTGAACTTCTGTACATACCTGAGGCTTCTTGTCCCTTTCCTCTGGTGAAGGCTCTGTTTCTCTATATACCACAGCTTTGGTTACCAGCATGTCAGGGTGCTGCAGTTTGGCCTCTTTGATTGCCAAAGCTAATGCCTGTGAATCAGAATAACAGTAAAACATTTGCCACTAATTCATTTAAGGCTTTCGCTAGTATTTAACAGTAGCAGAGCCTGCTGTGTCCATAGAGGCCTCTCACCTCAAATGACCCTCCCCTCTCATGCCCTGGATTAAAAGATTTATTCAGGAAGGCAATTGCTCCCAGGGATTGCTGGACTGTGGATGGACTAGCTTTCATATCAAAGTAGAAAATGAATACTGACAAAAACTGTCATGTGACAGTCCCCCAGAACTACTGACTATTTTCACACGGGCAGCTTCCTACCTGGTCTTGATCCACGTCTTCATCTCCCGTAATAATGATCCGCTTCTCTATTCTGGTTTCTGAAAACCCTCCTTTCACAGTCTGCAATGCAAAAGGGAACAGGATGAGGTCAGAGGCTGGATTAGGAACTTTATAAGCACTTGCCCTAAAGAACTACTCTGGCCTTTGTGGGTGGAGAACATGGTGACCTGATTGCTTGGTGGCAGGTGGACAAAGGGAACACTTCACAATATCCCTCTACAGATTCAGCTAGTCTCCTTCACATGAAGGTGCAGTTCAAGTTGCTGATGTTGATTCCTCCCTGGGATTAACAACAGGATCTGCAGTTCCCTCCCTCCCCATGTACTGCCCAAAAGGTGAAGAAGAGCTGACCAGCTCTCACTCCATGCCTGGAGATGGGAGGGGGAGGGGAGGTGCTCTCAGAAAGACATTTCAATGCAGAAATGGCCTCTCTCCACTTGTCAGCTGATGTCCAAATGGCACCCGTTTGGCATTGGATAGGTTGGGTGAGATAGTAAAAAATGCTGGGCACTGCCCTTAACTGATCCAATAAAAGCTGGGGGGAGGCTTCAGTAGAAGCAGCATCAGGCCCTTGCCAAGTACTATAAGAATTCTACCCTACTGAAAACATGTCCTTTTCCTTATGGCTTGGATTATAAAATCCCCCCTCCCTTCAATAGCAACCACAGCTTGGCCCTGATGTATTTACATATATGACACACACAGGGTAAATTCCCTTCCCTTCTTAAATGCAGAACACAGTAAAAGAAAAAAAGCAAGCAAGAGATATATTGGCTCAAATCTACACTGCTGCTGCACCTCATTAAATCTGCATTACACTTGGGATGAGTTTGGCCCATTAACTTGACATGGTAAATGGTTCTTGGACAATCGCTATGTAAATGGCACAATGGGACAATGCACTTCCTGGCTACAGCTAGTTTAGACAGCGGTATCATTTCCCCTCATATGATCTGCAGTGTAATTCCTTTCTCCCCTCAGCCTTGTTGCTTTCTTTAGATATCCACATCCTATCCAGAAGCTGCCAAATCCTGACCCATTCCAGGCTTCACCTTCTTACCTTCGTAACATGGGTAGTGGTGGAAGTCGAGAGCGTTTCTGCCGTAGCACCAAATATGCTGGTAAGACCTTCTTTTCCAGCAGTGGTGCTGGTGATCTACAGAATATGCAAAGAACATCCATGTCAACAGGACAGAGCACAGTGGGCCTGTGTGAGGACTGCCACTTCCCTCTATCTTGCTATCAGTATGGAACCTTGGACTTTAAGCTTTGGACCTAAGGATACATCATACAACCATCCCGTGTTTCTTCATTCCTTCTGTCACATTCTCTTTTCCTTGCCTGTTCTGAGGCCAGTATTGTGACCCCCATATGATGTCATGCTACAGAGACTAGAAGGTAGGACACATTTCCCTTGCCATTGTGCCCTTTCTGCTTCTCACTGACCTTCCAACACAGAGGAGCGGTGCTAGCCAAGGCCTTTCATTTTACAACTTTATGGCTATTTGAAGCTAAGCAGCAGACAACCCATGTCTGCCCTAATCAGAACAGTCAAGGCCAGAAGCAGAAGTGAAGGGAGGGAAGACCAGGGTGCCCCTTCCATCTGGCTTCCCAAGTGTTCACACTTCCTTGGGGCACAGGTCCTGTGAGGTGACCTCTCCAGTGGGCCTCACCCCAGACAGCGTAACCAAATGGGAAAGCAACTAAGAAGAAAGCACTGCCCTAAGGGCTGGGTCCTGTGTGGTGCTGAGTACTTCCTGTGAATTGCTGATCATCCTCAACTTCCACTGATGTCCGTGGACATTGGGATTAACCCAGGGAAGAGAATTCTGTATTTGGTGCATGATTTTTATTGAATCATAGCCTTAGCCCCTTAAGGGAAGAATCTTGTTTTGCAGGAAGGCCCCAAACAGCAGTTACGTATCTGCATACTGGCATTTATGAAATCTACACTTCTGCCACCTGGAGGTGCAGGACCACATACATTTTAGTTCCAGTCACTGAGCAGTTAGGACACTCACCCAGGAAGTGGGATGCAGGTTCTAGGTCCCCCTCACCCAGGAAAGGTTTGAACCTGTATCAGTTTGATGTCCCAGCCCAGTGTTCAAATGCCAACACCACAGGTCAGACATTATCCTCCTCTGGTATTTACCAACTAGTCTGGATCTTTGTTAGATAGAATTATGTGACATATGGTCACCCAGCATACATACAGGCACAGCTGTGTACCTGCCTGGGCAGTGCGTTATCTAGTGCATACTGCACATGCTCAGTGGCTGTGAGGATAGTTATGCATCCACGCTGCAAACTGTGCACAAGTGCTAAAAATGGCTGAACAGCTGCTATTTGGGCCTGCAAAGTTAAACAGAATTCTGCCCTTTTGTGCTTCAAGACCTTCATGACATGAGACCAATCCCCAGAGGCTGCTGCTCACACAAAACTTCCAGGGGTCAATGGGATCTCAGTCAACCTAAGTTTCAGCTCAGGGCACCATAAGAACATGAGAACTGCCATAGCGGGTAAGACCAAATGTCATGTAGATCATCTCCTGCCTCCAAATGACAAGTAGTGGGTGCTTTATAGGAAGAAACAGAGAAAGTTAAGAGTGACCTCTCCCCTGTCAACCCCTGCATGTTGTGTCAGTAGACCCTGCTGGGCCTATCAGTCCTTCAGAAATTTATCCAGCTCCAGTTAATGTTTTGCGTGTTGGTTTGGGACAGCAGAGAAGCCAAAAGCACCAGATTCCAGGTTCCATCTTGGTCTCTATTCCTTACATACAGTTGGGATTACCAACCCATTCTCCCTGTTCTCAGCTATAGGAATTACTCAGCCTATGGAGCTGGTGCTGCCCATGCTGATGGTAGAAATGCAGAAGAGTGCCTGCTTCCAGGAAAGGTAATGAAGGAAGTACTGAAGCAGCCTTAACTCAGAGCAAATTTCTAGCCTCTGGCGCTAGCATTTAACAGCCAATCCAGCCCGCTACCACATTCTGTGGACCTCTCTTCAGCAAAGGAACCTGGAAATTAGCAGCACATTTTCAACTCACCGGAGATATGGAACGAACTTCTGTTGTGGGGCCAGCTCCCTTCCCCAGCTTGGTGCTTGGATCCTGAAAGAACAACCCTTACACTGAAGCACTGGCAGACACACAGCAAGAAGGATGAAAGGGCAACTCCCTCTGAGAAGGGAGTACCAGTGAAAAGCCAGGTGTTAGATGCTGTCAACTTCTAGTGGCCAAAGGGCACTCCCGTCCATCTGCTGACCCCAATGGGACAGAACCCACCCTCCAAGCATCAGTTCTGCTTGGGGCTGCTCCTTTCCCCCATCATCTGGCAATCTAAAAAGGGGAGAACTACATTACATGCCACCTTCCTGGAGCTACATGCTTACTGAGGTTGTTGATATGGTTTCTGTGGTGACAGTGTGGGAAGTGGCTATTGTCTCTTTTCCTCCTGTGGTGCCTCCTTCAGCCTGCCAAGGGAAGGAGAAATCTGGTAAATCTGTGAGGATTTAGCTGACAAGTGAGCTGCAGTCAGCAAGGATAGCAATTTGCTTTTTACACTTGCTGATGGAAAGCTGGTTTCTTGCAGCAGTGATGCACGGTGACACTTCTGCTAATGGGGTAAGGAAGTTGCAGAAAGTTCTTATGGTCCCAGATACAAGGTCAGAGTCATGGCACCCTATGAATGAGCTTCCAAATCACAGCCCCCTTTGTCCTACAGCCACAAGCCCCTCTCATCTGCAGCCATGGAGAAGTGCACAGCAGCTCAGGAGAGGCAGTGAATGAACCCTGTATCTAAATGATGCATGTTGAAGTAGAGGAGTTTGGGCAGGGCTCCAGTGGAATGGTATGTGGACACTACTATGCTTGTGAAAAGTGCTATGGGCTCTTTAATGGCCTTGAGCAAATGGGGCCTTGTTGTGATGCCTCTAGATATGAAAACCCAGAATCTACAAAGGATTTTAAAAACTGACATAAGTGAGCAGTACATTTTGAAACGCTGAGTTGACTTTAGAGGTGGAATTTGAACAGATTAGAAAGAGTCCAGCAAAGAGCAACAAAAATGAATAGGGGCCTGAGAATGCGGAAAGGCTGAAAGACCTTGGGGTATTTAGTTTGGAGAAGAGAAGACTGAGAGTAGATGTGATAACAGTCTTCAAATATCTGAAGGGCAATTTATAGAGAATTGAAATGGGCTTTTCTCTGTGGCTACAGGGGACAAATGTAGGAGCAATGGCCTCAGGCTGCAAGAGGAAATTTAGGCTGATGGAGGAATTTTCTTACTATGAAGGTGGTTGGGCACTGAAACAGGCTGTGGCCTTTCCATCCTTGGAAATTTTCAAGAGCATAGTGCATGGACACTTGGCTGGGATGGTTTAGTCAGGGATGATCCTGCCTTGAGCAGAGGGCTGGACTAGAAGACACTGTGAAGTCCCTTCCAGCCCTACTTTATTATAATCCTATTTATGCGAAGGGGCTCCAATCCCCAAGGGGTGGGGCTATGGGAGGACTAGGTTTTGTTTGCCCAGCAGTCTGGGATTTTCTGGGAGCTTTGCTGGGACTTGCTGAGGCTCCACAGAGCACTTGGTAGGGCACAGCCTGCCTTCACGTTCTTTTCACCCAGCATCACTGAATCATAGAGTAAACCCTGGTTAGCACAAAGGAGCAAGTTACCTGTATTGTTTCCACCGATGTGACCCTCTGTTGCACAGAGGTCTCTGGTTCTGCCTTCTTCACACCAGATGCAGGGCTGACAGCCACAGCTTCTGTTTTCAAAACTGTTGACTGGGGAAGGAACACAGCAATTCAGCAACAGGTGGGGCTTTCTTTTAACAGGATGGAAGCGTGTTGGTTCCTCAGACTTGATTAAAATTACAACAGCAGTGAGGCATGGACTGTAGCCTATGTGAGTCTCCTCCCCCTAAGTCCATGGGCACAAAAACACCTGCCGGGAACTACTGTGGGTGTGAGTAAGCCAGAAGCGAAACATTAGTTAGCATGGGGAGCCTTTGTGAAGTCACTCTCTTAGAGAGCCACACAGCTCTTCCAAACTGGCATGCTAAGAGCCTGGGCTGAAGTCACCTGCAGTGCTGCCAGCTACTATGCAAGCTCCCTGACACATCTAGTCGAGTGCATCCCAATCTCAAACAGGTGTTCCTTCTGACTGAGGGACAGAAATATTATTGCCAGTACCTGCCCACACTCCAGGTTACCACTGGAGAAAGGCAGGTGGAGTTCCCTAAGAGCCCTGCTGATGAAAGCTGCCCGAGGGATGGACTGACCCAATACACACCCAGCTGCTGGGCGCATGCACCTTCCTTACTTCACAGATTGAGCTGGACTCTGCACGCCATTAGTGCAGAAGGGAGCTTGCAGCCAACTCCCCAACTGCAGACTCACCACTACCAGGAGCTTTTGCTGGGCTCTATGCCAGTGTGGTAGTGGATGAATTTTAAGGTTCAGCTTCCACAATGTGTTCTGCCCAAAGTTCCTGTGGGTAAAGGACACTACAAGCCCAGGCTTCAACTCAAAACCCCCAGCAGAATGCCTCAGAAGAACTGGATTAACTTTCTTGAATTTTTCCCGATGGAGTTGTAGAAGACAAGATGATCCTGCCTTGAGCAGGTGGTTGGACCAAGTGATTTCATGAGGTCCCTTCCAGCCTTACTTTCCTATGAGCGTATGACTTTCTAATTCTCCCTAACGGCCAGTGCAGAGCTGCATGGGGTTAACTTATCTTCAGGCAGAGGATTTACTAGGCTACCCGGGAGTTACACAACCACCTGGGGCATGAAAATGAGGACTCCAGTGAAGGGCCAGGCACTAGTATCTGGGTGCAATTGCCCTAATGTCAAAAGCAGGGAATCTGATGCTTTGGCTCCAAGTGCTGGGACATACAGTCCAATCAAAGAGACACCACTGAAGGGAGATGCAACTCCATGGTGAGGGACTGAGGAGCTGAACCCTGTTCCAGATCTACAGGATTCACCTGCTGGGATCCTGCCTCTACCCCTTTTCACTATGGAAACTGGTCAACTTTTGTTCCTGCGGCCACTCCATCTGCAATTTGTTGAGCCTGGTGATAATGGAAGTACTTGCACAACAGGAACCACCAGAGATCTCTGGGGCCTATCCCACCAACCTTTGGGTAAGTGGCTAAGTGGCTCCCCCCTCACCTTCATGATCACAGGTTAGTTCACCGTACATGTGTCTCAACATGCATGCTATTTGTTGAACTCATGCAACACAAAGGGCACAGCTTTTGGTTAAGAGAGACACCCACCCATCATATATCCTTCTATGGTAAAAGTGTTGGGGTTGCCACCCAACCGCAGTGGATTACAGGAAGATGATGATGATGATGATGACAACTTTTTTGGTTAGAAGATATACAAACACTTGCACTACAGAATCATGCACCCAGAGGAGATGAAAACAGCCATGCAAAACAGATGACAACATTCATTAGGGCAAAACAAAGCCACTTGAAAGGATCCCAGGGTTGTTTAAAAGCTGGCATGCTTTTCCAAACAGACATGTGAAGGGCATGCTGATCAAGCAATGCCAGATACCAAGACAGAGAACACGGTGAGATGAGGACACAAACAAATCTTGATGGTATGGCTTCCTTCTGTACCTCAAAATGGGACACTTCTGATACATGGTAGAAGACCTTCTCCCCTTCCTTGGCACTTTCTTCCTGGCCAGGAGCTGTTTTGTCAGCATCCTGAGAGGAAATCGAACCTTCAGCTTCTGTCTCACTCTTATCTCTATCAAGCTCAGGCAGACTCCTGGAGATGTCTTCAAAGGTGGTGCCATGGAAGTCACTGATAACTGTAAAGTCCACCTCTGCTTCCAGACTGGATGTTGAGCTGACCGTAATGCTTGAGCACTTACGCTCGATGGCCAGATGGTTGTCCTTCAAGAAGACTGAGTCCTTCTCCTGGTCCTGCTCCTCATCCCCGGTGTCACTTTCAGGAGCCTTCTGCCGAGGCGGCTTAGCTTTCTCGTCTGCACCCTCCCTCAATCCTGCTCTCTGAATGAGACACAATGACGGAGAGAAGCTAAGACTGTAAGTACCAAACAGGACAACAGAGCTGGCTTTGCCAAGAGGAGAGAGGGGGAAGTGGGGGAAGAGGAGGAAAGAGGTGGCTGGGGAAATGTCACAGCGTGGGATTGAAACACAACTCAAACATGGAAACTGAAACCTTTTTGACAGCAGCAAGTTTGCAGAGGGAATAGTTCAGTTTGATTTGCAAAAAGCAATTAGAAAAATCAATATTAAAAAAAGGACTGATCAAATAGAAATGCTCCAACACGTCTGGGGCACATCACTGAGCCTGACGGAAGCAGATGTGTACAAAACAACAGGTATGTTTCGATATACGTATAAATGGCTCAGAGTCTAGCCCCATCAGACATCAGTAAAGTTTGGCACAAAAACAAACAAAGAAGGGAAAAGAGGAGAGGCTAAGAGTCTGAACGCAAGAAAAGAAAAAGGCCCCATCAGCTGCATACATTCAAGGAGAAGCAAAGGAGCTTGTCAATTTCACCGAAATCACCCAACAGGAGTTTTATGCTCGTTTGGGTTTGGGCACTGCTCTTGTTTTTATGTGCTCATTTTTATCAGATATATGTAAGGAAGGGTCAGTGCAAGCTCATGGCTGCCCCACAAGCGGGATGGCCAGGACCTCTGCCCGCAGGGCCTGAGCTGAAGGGAGTGCTTGTGTAGAAACCATTTCAGACTATGTAACACTTCCCCAAAGGTCACTTCACGTTCAGAAAGGACCCATCACAGATGAACATATTGCTTGTTTAATCAGTGTAATTGACAACAAGATCAGAGCAAAGGGACACCCTCCCTCTCCTAGCTCCTCTTTATATACATACCTCTCACCTCTCCCATCAGAGGGTAAATTTCACCCTGACCCTGCTTGCCATTCAGCCATCAGAAAACTTGAATTGCTCTTTTGTTTCATTTTACACAGTGATTAAGGAGAAGCTTTCAACCCTCTTTAAAGACCCAAAGCCCCCTGATGTCAAAGGAAAGGCTCCCAGTGACTTCAAAGGAAAGGCTCCCAGTGACTTCAGGCGGGTGGCAGACTGGGCCTACATGTGCAGACATATCCCTCAACCTGGCCCCACCTTGGGTACTTTTTTGTCTGTGTTACTGGTAGGTTGAGAGGTATGAGAAACAGGGTTTCAAACAAACTCAAGAGGAGCACATATATGTATGTGTATATATATATCTATATATATAGCAGCTCTGCAATGGGGAAAGAGTCAAAAGCATACAGTTCTCAGCTGGTTAAGGTGAGCTTTCGTACTGGGGTAAGAAGCAGTTAGTAAAACAGCACTGAGACCTGGGAGACCACTGGAACAGCAGTCTTTAAACTCTCTTCTCTCGGGGTGGCTTTTATAGATGGGCCAGATAAATCCTTTTCTTCCCAAGATGGTTCCTGAGATTTGTTCTGGATTAGAGAAAAGGGTTAGTCTTAAGGAGCAGAAATAACTCTACAAGGAACTGCTCTAGTGTCTTATAAGTGCGGTAGAAAGCTATTCATCATCCAGCCACCAGCTTGCCTAAGACAGGAGAGGAGGGCGTGGGGCTGACAAGCCAAGCAAGAAGGGATATCAAATTAAGAAATGCAAGGGTCAAGCTGGAAGCGTGGGAATGTTGCTGCTATGTGTGTGTGTGAGTGTGGCAGATACAAAGCTCTCTGGTCCACCCTCCCAGCCCCTTCTTGCTCCAGGGCATGAAGCTTGTGTGCCCAGTTTCACGTTAGCAGCTGCCATTCTCCAGGTGGCCAAACTTGTCAGGAATTCACAAAACAAAAGCTGATGAACCAACTGGCCAGCAGGTCTGCAATCAGCAAATGAGCCAGACCACATACACATACATAAAGGACAGGGAATGCAAAGCGACCGCTCTCAGTCAATGGATGTGTGAGGTGCCATTTAACATGATAATAAAGAGCCACACAACATGCGTATGAACTTTCCATCGGGACAGTTCATCGGAGAAGTTACCACAGCTTCTGCCAGTGTGAGTTCACAGCCGGAATCGGGGGAAGCGAGTCCAGTATCATCTTCCCCTTCATGCTCTGAGTCAATGGAAATGTCTTCCTTTGAGGATGGAGGCTGGGAGGGATCTCTGCTGGCTGCTTCTTGTATGACAGCTAAGGCTCCCACACTGGACACTTCCCCAAGATGTATGGCTCTATCATCTGAGGTGCCTGAGACTGTGGGAGATGGAGAAAGGCCCATGTCTGACTCCAGGTAATGAGGCAGCACCAGCTGATCACTGGCTGTTCCTGATAGTGGCTCAGTTTCAGGAGCACGGGCTTGTAGTCCTGCTTGGGCTGCCCTTCGCTCACCAAAGTCTGAGCCGCAAGCTTCGCCTTGCTCAAACATCTTAATTTTAGAAGCCACCGATGTCTGCTCATATGTCTCGCTGCTCCTGCCCAATGAGGTGTGCCAGCCAGCTGGGAGTTCAGGTAAAGCCAGCTCCATGGGCGCTTCTTCTTGACTCATGGCTTCCACAGCCCTGACCATAGACTTCACAGACCCAGACTCAGGTTTCTGTTTCCCACTGGTAGTTTGTGGGTCTTTGCCAACTTCAGCTGTAGAACTAACAGGCCAGGACAATTCTTCATTTCCCTGCAGTGGGTGAGGGTGGGCAGGAACAGTGTCCGTTTCTTCCAAAGATGTTTTAACTTGGGTTGCCTGTCCTGGACCAGGACCATTCCCAGGGGACAGCTCTCTCACCTTGGGGCCTATGAATTGAGGCATTTCTGCTGCCATGGGGCCTTTGTCCTGAGGGGGCTTGGGTGGTTCTCTTGCCATGGGACCTTTGCTTTGGGGCAGCTCTTCAGCCATGGGGCCTTTGTCTTGGTGCAGTTTTCCTATCACCAAGCCTTTGACTTGAGGTTTTTCTCCTGCCACGAGGATTTTGTCTTGAGGAGGCTCTTCCACCTGGGGGCATTTGTCTTGAGACAGCTCTCCTGCCATGGGGTCTTTGTTTTGGGGCAGGTCTCCTACCATAAGGCTTTTACTTTGGGTTGGCTCTGCCACCTGGGGGCTTTTGTCTTGAAGTGCCTCTCCTTCCTTCGGGCCTATACCTTGAGGTGGTTCTCCTGCCATGGGGCCTTTGTCCTGAGGTGGCTTGGGCAGTTCTTCTGCCACAGGGCCTTTGCTTTGGGACAGCTCTCCAGCCATGGGAGTTTTGTCTTGAGGTGGCTCTCCTGGCATGGGGCCTTCGATCTGAGGCAGCTCTCCAACATGAGGGCATTTGTCTTGGGGAGGCTCTCCCGCCTGGGGGCCTCTGTGTTGAGGTTGCTCTCCCGCCTGGGGGCCTTTGTCGTGAGGCGGTTCTCCTGCCACGGGCCCTTTGTCGTGAGGCGGTTCTCCTGCCACGGACCCTTTGTCGTGAGGCGGTTCTCCGGCCACAGGCCCTTTGTCGTGAGGCGGTTCTCCTGCCACGGGCCCTTTGTCGTGAGACGCTTCTTCTACCACGGGCCCTTTGTTGTGAGGCGGTTCTCCTGCCACGGACCCTTTGTCTTGAGGCAGTTCTCCGGCCACAGGCCCTTTGTCTTGAGGCGGTTCTCCTGCTACGGGCTCTTTGCCTTGAGGTGGTTCTTCTACCACGGGCCCTTTGTCGTGAGGCGGTTCTCCTGCCATGGGGCTTTTGTCTTGAGGCGGTTCTCCTGCCATGGGGCTTTTGTCTTGAGGCGGTTCTCCTGCCATGGGGCTTTTGTCTTGAGGCGGTTCTCCTGCCA